TGGCTAAAAAAAAAAGGGAAATGTGTAAAGGTAGGTTGGAGCATATCGCCCAAACTACTGGTACTGTTATAATTATTTTTTTGTTGCACTCAAATTCGTTCATTTGAAGATGCAGTTCAGACACCTACCTCTCATATTTGCAGCACAACAAAATATGATACACGCTTTTAAAAAGGAACATAGTTATTACAGGCATTCAAATACACTAAATACAGTAATTATTCTATTCAAAAAATCTACACTTAAAATGGTGCTCTTTATGTCCAAAGAACTCAAATGTTTTGAAGACATGTAATATTTCCAGATGAACTTTAAAATGTTACAGTTTTTTTTTTAATATCATCCATGTCTTTGAATGCTGAACAACTCATCAAATAGAGCCGTTTTGTTCAATTGGATTAATATTATGCAGTAGCTCTCAGTCAGGTTAATTAAAAACTGATGTAAAACAGAACTTTAATAAGCTGACTGTAGCTTAATTGTTCTATTTTTAAATAACATTTCTTCTCGCTCTAATAATTATACATTGCAAGGTAGTCGGCCAAGCCCAGTCTCATTTTATAAGTGTGGAAAGGTAAAAGTCAATATAGTCATCCAACTTGCAGAACAGCAATGAGTTCCCTTGAGCACCTATTAACAATAAGCAAAATTACTATCTACAACTCAAAACCACTGCAAATGTTTATAACTTCTGCCTACATTTTCACACTGTTTGTTTATAATGTAAAATAATTAAATAAAATCATTAAATTAAATGTAATACACTCATGTGTATTAACTAAGTGGAAGGAAACTGGACCTCAAGCAATAGGAATTTGCTTTATTTCTACTTTTAATAGACAGACATAGAGGGAGACAAACAGATGCACACATACATGCATATATACATAGACACAAACTTAAAACCCAGGGTGAGATTAAAGTACAAACCTCAAATGGTATTTAACAAACCAAAACAAGATAGGTTTTTGTTCCCCCAATGTCACGACTAGTGATGTCTCGAACGGTTAGCTGGCGAATAGTTCCTGGCGAACATAGCGTGTTCGCGTTCGCCACGGATGGCGAACATATGCGATGTTCGGTCCGCCCCCTATTAATTTACTAATACTAAGTAAAAATTACTTAGTATTAGTAAATTGTGCCCCTACTCACAATACCGCGAGTAGGGGCATGTCTATTAAACAGTGAGCAGCCTGTGGCTGCTCATTGTTTAAAAAAAAAGGGTCCCCCCCGGTGGGGGCCCTAAATACTAATAGGGGGGGACCTATTGTCCTCCCCCTGGCCCCCACCCCTGAGCGGTGGGTGGGGGCCCTAAAATTAACAATAAGGGGGGACCTACTGTCCCCCCCGGCCCCCACCCCTGAGCGGTGGGGGGGGGCCCTAAAATTAACAATAAGGGGGGACCTATTGTCCCCCCCAGCCCCCACCCCTGAGCAGTGGGTGGGGGCCCTAAAATTAACAATAAAGGGGGGACCTATTGTCCCCCCCCGGCTCCCACCTCTGAGCGGTTGGTGGGGGCCCTAAAAATAACAATAAGGGGGGACCTATTGTCCCCCCCGGCCCCCACCCCTGAGTGGTGGGTGGGGGCCCTAAAATTAACAATAAAGGGGGGACCTATTGTCCCCCCCGGCCCCCATCCCTGAGCGGTGGGTGGGGGCCCTAAATACAAAGGGGGGGACCCTAGTCACCCCTCCCCCCCAAAAAAAAGTTTTATCTCCCTACCTACCCCCCTCACCCTAAATATAATGAGGGGGGGACTTTTAACAATAATAAAAATAATATCATAATATGTTGGAGATGCAATGACAAAGAGTGGACTTTTGGACATATATGGTGGGACTGCAGTAAGGTGAAAATTCTGTGGTTTATGGCTTTTGAATCATTGAAGTATATTACAGAAACAAAAATCCCTAGAGGCCACCATAATGGTCTATTTCACTTAAATTTGCAATCACTCCTCTTTAAGAACAAATTTATATATGTCCATTTTGTAGCAGCAATAAAAATAATAATCGCAAGGAATTGGAAGAGTAGCGCAAATTTTACGCAAGCCCAGTTGTATTCACAAGTCCAACACCAATTAACCATGGAAGCCTTGGGACATCAGTCAATAAAAATCAGAGATGTTAGCAATTTCTGGAAAGAAAAAATGGAGAGTCTGACTAGATAAAACCCTGGACAAAATTAATAGAATAGTGTGTGTTTTTTTTTTTTTTCATCTTTTCCTTTTCATTTCTTTTAAGGTAGTGAAATAGAGGTGCCACTGTAATACCCCAAGTAGAGTCTGCAATGCAAGTCTGTTTTTGTATGTTTGTTAAGTACATCATACTAATGAATCCAGTAAAGCTAATTATTTAATAAAAGTAACAATAGATAGTGAAGAAGGATGACTATTATGGGAGACGAAACTTTAATCTTAGAAGGACGGTTGGACGAAAATTTTTGTCATGCCCATTGTTCTTGTTATTTTGGTATTTGGATTTGTTTAAAGAAATAATATAATTGAGTAAAGAAATGGGGAACAAGCAATAATATTGTAAATACATGATAATGAGCAATATTTAATCTATATGTATATATGTAATACCACATGTCCTATCTAATCAGCGCTAAATGTTTACATTTGCCTATGTTTTTTTATATTAGTATGAATGATGCTAATGTCTCGTACGTTTTGTAAAAGAAAAATTGAAATAAATAAATTATAAAAAAAAAAATAAAAAAATTAAAAAATAATATAATTTAGCCTTTTCTGTGACATTACATCATTGCATATTCTAAATTTTAAATATGTGTCTATATACATACATATATATATATTCGAAGCAAAAACCAAAAAAGGTATGGTGGGGAAAAATTATATATAAAAATTATATACATATATATATGTGTGTGTCTTTTGCTACAATGTTATTTATATATATATATCTATATATATATATCTATATATATATATATATATATATATAGATATATATATACTCTAGCAAAAGATAAGCTCATCCTGATATATCAGTCACCCATTAAATTAGAATTCCACACTGTCAGTCCTCAAGTGCAACCATCAGGCAGGGTTTTTCAAGATTCCTCTAATTAATTCTTAAGTAACCAAATCATCCAGTCCTAATTGCCATTGAGACATCTTGCTTAGGCATGTGTTGACATGAAAGCATGGTCTGCTAGCTGATGCTCAGAAATTAACCTGATACGTATAAAAATAGCTTTACATAATATTATTAACTAAATTATATAATTAATTCAAATATAATCACTTTTAAATTATGACAAAATATATAGTATGATATATTTTGAAACTTGACAAATATAGATTTATTTATTTTTCTGTTTCAAATCTACTTACATTTTGTTTACTGTTTAGAACCATTATTTATAATTTGTAATATGCTCTGAAATACCATCAAAATAATTTTGGGTATTTCTTAAAACCTGCAGATCTATGCCCATATTCCATTACATATTTTAAAACATTTACTCTGTATATAATTGATGAGTATATTTACTAAATAAGATCATTTTAGTGAAACATAACACAACGACAAACAAATTGACAATCACAGTACTTTATGATAAGCATAACAATAAAACCAAGGTTTACACCAATGCCCTTGCATTCTTTTTAATTGATTCATTTTAGTATCACTCATCCTGTGAAAAAATAAAAAAATATTTAACATTTCAACAGTAGATAGAATTCAATATATCTTAAAGTGGGGTTTTTATATTTATATGTTATCTGAAAAAGTCTGCTATAGGGAAATAATAAAATATTTGATCCATACTTCTAAATTGATTTATTTATCAGTGTTTTCCCAGGAAAAAACATTTAAAGTTCTCTAATTTTCAAGAATGACCTGGGACACTGGCATAATATAAGCTTGTTACACGTTTACCGTACACAAAACATTAAATAGCTGTTTACGATTGTTACAGGTCTGTGTTGCTTGAAAATAGTAAGCATATTTTCTGCGATTGTAAAAATAAGGAAAATGTGGAAGGATGCATCTATGTTGCAACGGAAAATAGAAAGTATGATGTTTGAAATGGACTTAAGATTATAAGGGCGAAAGAGACTGAGCTTATTGTTTAGATAGGGTGGAAATTTACCGGAGAAATGGTTATGGATCATATATATGATAAATAAACTCTTCTTTCCGACCTTGAATATTGCCCACTTTATTTTTTAAATGCTTAGCCAGGGAACAATTGACAGTGTTGGCTTTATTTAGGAATAGTTTTTGTTTTGCTGTTGTTTTTTTAAATTTTATTTTATTTTTGAGACTTATCTCTCAACCTCAAATCCTGTAAAAAAAAATCCAACAAAAACTCTTAAATTGTAATATGCTTATTTTCATATCGAATATGATTTCACCTGCATCCTGATGTGGTGTTGCAAACAATGTTGAGACCATTATTTATTTATTTTTTTAAATTTTTTTTTTTTTGCAGTGCATAAAATTACAAACTGGCTTGAGGTACCCCAAAGGCAGTCCTCGGGCTGCTTGGCATAGATAACAGGTAGGGTAATTGCTAGGTAATACACATTTTTATGGTATTTTAGGTACAAGATAAAGTTACATAAGGGCATTATATGCTGCTTACTGTTTGCTGCGTACATGCTTTAGATTGGTAGATAAAACATCACCCCTTAGACCCCTATAGCTTCACATGAGTTAAATTAGTAAGGCTGGTGCATTGTGACAGGTGAAATTTCGATATTGCCATGTTTATACTAAGCCGATTAGAATTAGTGAGGTCATTTTCAGAGAGTCCCCTTGTGTCTCTGTTTAGCCTATGCCCTCTGTGGGCTTCACGTCTTCCCGCTGCTGTCCTGCGGTCTGCATGTGTTGCAACTCCCTCAGGGTTGGTTGGTAGGTGCTGCACGACAGTCCAGGAGTGGTATGTGGCATCTGGCATGGTGGACTTGAACCCCGGTGCATCTGGAGAGTGGAGTGTCATGGGTTGAGGGCTGATGGTCCCTGTCATTGGGCGAGCGCTGGTTTGCTGTGCTCCTTTCTCTGCCGCTGGTTGCTGGCCCATCTCTGTAACGGAGCCGAGAGCTTGTGATGAGTCTCAATAGGTAAGTGACCCATTATGGTGTTAGAGTGTGTGCGTGCAGCTGGTCTTTGTAGGTGTCGTATCTGTCGGTGTTTGTGATCCGCGTTGGTTGTGGTAGATGTGGGGGGGTAGCTTTCATGCGCTCTGGTCTTGGTGCTGTTGCACACGGCCTTCGCCATCTTAGGTGTCGCACCTGGGTTGCGGATCGGGTTGGCAATGCTACTAGGCCTTAGTCGTCGTGTTGTAGTGGTCGGGGCACCAGGGTGAGGACCGGGATCACTCCCGCCAGTCCAAAGGGGGGGAACAGGGCCAGTTCCTCGAGGGTCTGAGCCCCTGGCTGGGCACTGTTAGACAGAATAGCAGGGCAGCGGCCGTCCACTCCACTCACCGCCGGAGTAGGCCTCGACTTCGGTAGTGAAGATTTCTCCTCCAGGGGACTAATACTCGTTGAGCCAGCCTCACCCTGGATCCAGTGCTCTCTGCTCGTTGAGGGCCGCTTTTGCTGGTCAGTATAAGGGACGAAAATCCTATTTTTATGGCTTAATGGTTTAAATATTGCAGGAGCTGCTTTTTCTTGCGACCGTCCAGCTTGGCGGTCCGGCCCCGCCCCCAAGACCATTTTTTTGTAAAATGTTGAAAACAGGAGTAGTCCAATAAGAGAATCTTGGAGAAATCTACCTATTACTTTGAGGGTGTTATCAATATATACATATACATACTGGGCACTGTCTAATAAAACAAATGATCAATGAAAGCAAAACTAGTTATGTGCTTGCTATGCCAGGCAATTTGAGCTTTGTTAGTAAGATATTATTATTTTTTATGCCTCTTCTCTGTTTTTATATAAATATAAATAGGCATTGTCTGTTTCTTGTAATAAATATTTTAATTTGTCATTTGCAGTGATGAGTTTTAATATTATTTTTAGATGAATCCCTCCTTTCTCTTTTGGCTTTAAAAAGTTGAGCCACAAAAATAGATGGGTTGTAATGTGTATTTTATTTTAGCTTTACCTTAAATTTTCTTTCCAAAATTCAGAGTTTAGAGATTCCTCTGCCTAGAAGTTTCTCTTTTCCAGACAAGTAATCATATTTTGAGATAATGGGGTGTATATGCTACTTGCTATGCAAACAAGTATAACTGGTAAATGCACTAGTGTTGAAAAAATTCAGAAAAGAAACTGCACAATTCTTTTAGCTGTTTCACAGCTACTGGATATTAGATGCTATCTTTAAAAATAGCAGAGCCTGAACCACTGTTTTTGTACTGTAAACATTCCTATTTATTTGGATATCATCAGTCAGCTGACAACCAGAGAGACACAGCCCAGCAACTTCAGAGAGAGAGCAAAACACCACCAACCGAAAAACAGTCAAAAGCAGAGTCAAGAGAGGGTAAAAGTTGAGACAGTTAGAACTTTGGCACATGCACATGTCCTGCCTGTGCAAGCACCTAGCACACCTGCCAAAGAACACAAGCCCCTCTCTTTCTCTGAAACTATGCTTAACATCATTATAAAATAAAAACAGTAATTTTTTAAACAATACAACCAAAACAATAAGTGGAGTCTGAGCTGTCAGAAACGTGAGAGCAGAGCTTCCTTCTTGAAGAACTCCAGATGCTCCCTTGGTATACCATTATGATCAGACTCTTATGGTGCCTAAAAGTGGTGCGATTTGTCACTTGTAATTTCCTCTTATGCACAAAGCACAAATTATATATATTACAGAGTATGACATGGATTTGATTGACTCCCTACTAGAGTTTATTGACCTTGGCTAGTAAAATTGACATTAGGGTTTTTTGGATTTTTAGACTTATACTTTTTAATAAGCTCATGGTTGTGAAGTTCTATTTTTCCCAATTTAAAAAAAGATGTTCAATCGAAGCCGAACCTTTTCAAATTCCAAAGGTTGCTGCTATCTCTGTACTATATTATTTTATCATAAAGAATTAGCCTTACATTCTACAAGAATCACGCAAGTACAATGCACAGTTGGAAAAAAACATCCAACATTACAAACATTAGTTCAATTTTGGATTAAGTCTGGAAAATTCACATGATAAGCCAACTTGTGCATGTGTGAGATCAAAGGAAAACATCCAGTCAAGCACCGTCATCTTCATTTCAAACATTGCTGCTCAAATTAAACCCATGTATAGCCAAAACACAGTGAATCAGTTACATTTTGTCTATATTCATATTGTTTTAGTTAGATCACAGGGCTTGATGCATATGTTATTGGACATGAACACAAATATAGAATCTCTCCTTTAAGTGAGCATGGGAGGAAGAAAAGCAGAGTTCTACTTAGGCATGGTTGCAACACCAACAAAGTATGGAAAAAATGGTAACAGGCAGCAGAAAGGTTGATGCAGCGATAGAAAAGATGATGTTTATCCTCCAGGGATTTGGAGTAAAGTACTGGGCCTATTTCCATCAATGGTGCAATATGGGCAAGCTTAAGCCACTGGAGGCACTTCTACCCTGAGTGAACTCCAACAGGACCAGATAGATTTATATATGATCAGATTCAGAGTTGCTTGAGGTCTATGGACAGTAAACATTTAGTTCATACAAATGCAGTTAAAACATTCTGCTTCATATGATTGCATATCACACACTGGGTTTCAATGATGCTATGCAATGCTCTTTACATATGGCCCAAAGGTACCTCGGCAATATGTCACCAGGTGGGAGACCAAAAGTGGGAAAATGTTTTCATACTATCTCACCAGAGTACCATCTGCTCCAAGTACCAGGAGTTAAACTATAAGCTGTTGACAAATTGGCTAGGGACCTCTGAGATACTCATTCACATGGATTTGAGGTCCCAAGCAAGTGGTGGAGATGTGGGATAGGAGATTGTATCGGGTCTACACATTTTGTGGACGTGCCCAGCAGTGGCGTACTAAGGGGTGTGGAGGGCGGTCCACCCCGGGTGCCACCAGGTAGGGGGGTGCCATGACCCTGGTCTGGGTGCTGAAGGGGGATGTGTGAGCTGTGCGAACGCACAGTGCCCCATGGCAGCTGGGATGCCAGGCAGCTGGCACAGCTCAAACACACAGAGACCAGCAATTACCAGCTGAACTGACTGCACCATTGGAAAGTAGGAGCGGAGTTACTAAAATTTGAGGGCGGAGCCAAACTGGCAGCAGGGGTGGGACTTAACACAACCCTTACCTGCTGCTGTTACTGCTGTACATGGAGGTGCAGCAAGAAGGAATCCCTGCTTCTCCAACTAACAGGCTCCAGGGAAGGACTTCAGTGAAATCACTGATTTTCTTCTCTAGTCGGTTCTCTCACACCTCACCCCTCTGTCAGGCCTTACATTGGCTTCCTGAATGCTATAGGAGTCAATTCAAGGTACTAATTCACACCTATAAAGCACTGAACAACTCTAGCCCCTCTTATATCTCTTCACAGATCCATAAGTATGCCCCTTCTCGATCTCTCCGCTCTGCCCGTGACCACCTCCTTTCCGTTGTTCGCACCAGTACGGCCAACTCATGCTTGCAGGCCTTCTCGCAGGCAGCTCCCTTCCTATGGAAGCCTGCCTACCGCCTTCAGACTCTCCCCTAGTCTTGCATCTTTTAAGAAGTGCCTTAAAACCCATCTCTTTAGGAAAGCTTATGGCTTCCCTCACATATAACCTCTACCTCACATACCTGTCTCTTGCTCTCTCCTAAAAGGTAGCCCACCCTATTTGATTGCAAATTCCTGTCCTATTGTGTTTTACACCCCACCTCCTATAGAATGTAAGCTTGTTTGAGCAGGGTCCTCTCCAACCTATCGTTCCTGTAAGTTTTTTGTAATTGTCCTCTTTATAGTTAAATCCCCCCTCTCATAATATTGTAAAGCGCTATGGAATCTGTTGGCGCTATGAAAATGGCAATAATAATAATAATAATAATCCACTCCTCCTCCAGCCCACGCTATCTGTAAGTAAAAGTGTGTGTGTATGTGTGTTACTGTCTGCCTTTAACTGTGTGTATAATGGTCTGTCTAAAACTGTGTGTATGTGTGTGTTTGTAACTGTCTGCCTGTAACTGTGTGTGTGTAATGGTCTGCCTGTAACTGTGTGTGTGTTTAACTGTCTGCCTGTAACTGTGTGAATGTGTGTGTGACTGAATGACTGTAACTGTGTGTGTGTGTAACTGTCTTCCTGTAACTGTGTGCATGTGTATGTGTGTGTAACGGTCTCTCTGTAACTGTGTGTAGCTGTGTGTATGTATGTGTGTGTATGAAACTGTCTGCCTGTAACTGTGTATATGTGTATGTGTGTGGCTGCATGCCTGTAACTGTGTGAATGTGTGTGTGTATAGCTGCATGCCTGTAACTGTGTGTGGTGTGTGTGTGTGTGTGTGTAACTGTCTGCCTGTAACTGTGTGTATGTGTGTGTGTGACTGCATGCCTGTAAATGTGTGTATGTGTTTGTAACTGTTTATCTGTAACTGTGTGTGTGTGTGTGACTGCATACCTGTAACTGTATGTGAGTGTGTGTAACTGTCTGACTGTAACTGTGTGTATGTGTGTGTGACTGCATGCCTGAAACTGTGTGTATGTGACTGCCTGTGACTGTGTGTACCTGTCTGCCTGTGACTGTGTGTGGCAGTCTGCCTGTGACTATGTGATGCTACCTGTAACTGTGTTTCTGTGTGTGTGTTACTGTCTGCCTGTGACTGTGTGTGTGACTGTCTGCCTGTAACTGTGTGTGACTGCCTGTAACTGAGTGTGTGTGTGTAAATGTCTGCCTATAACTGTGTGTGTGTGACTGTCTGCATGTAACTATGTGTCTGGGACTTTCTGCCTGTGACTGTATGATGCTGCCTGTGACCATGTGTGTGACTGTTGCCTGTTACTGTGTGTGTGTGAGTGACTGTATATGTGACTGTCTGTCTGTAACTGTGTGTGTGACTGTCTGGCTATGACTGTGTGTGACTGCTTGTAACTGACTGTGTGTGACTGCTTGTAACTGACTGTGTGTGTGTGTGTAACTCTCTGCCTGTAACTGTGTGTATGACAGCCTGTGACTGTATGTGTGACTTTCTGCATGTGACTGTGTGCGTGTGACTGTCTGCTTGTAACTGTGTGTGACTGTCTGCCTGTAACTGTGTGTGAGGGGGTGCAGTGATTTTGTAAAAGGGGGCAGGGGTCTTGTATAAGGGGGCTGAGCAG